CAGGGAGTGTGCAGATGTACAGTGTAGACAGTGAGTGTGTGTATGCACAGTGTAGACAGCGAGTGTGCGCAGTGTAGACAGGGAGTGTGCAGATGCACAGTGTAGACAGTGAGTGTGTGTATGCACAGTGTAGACAGCGAGTGTGTGTAGTGTAGACAGCGAGTGTGCACAGTGTAGACAGTGAGTGTGTGCGGTGTAGATAGTGAGTGTGCAGTGTAGACAGCGAGTGTGTGCGGTGTAGACAGTGAGTGTGTGTGCAGTGTGTCCATCGTGTACCAGCTGAGGACAGAGTTGTCTGGCTCGCTCTTCTTCTCCTGTGTCTGTGCGCTGATGTCCAGAGAGGCCAGGTCCATTCCCAGCAGCTCTGCGATCCTCTCTCGGCCATAGATGTCCCCATACTTCTCCAGCACCTGTACAGAGTCCACAGCAAATTACAGCTTCTCTACTATCCAGCACACTCTCCAAACTCGACACCCAGATTAAAGACTTAACATGGAGAGCCCAGGCTGACACGTCACAACTCCTGCATTTCAAAACATCGTTCATGCACAGACATGTATTGTCAGACATGTAAAACTGTATTGTAACATCATGCACATCTGCCAAGTGCAGGCGGTCGAACAATAAGAAAAAGTAAAATAAGCAAGTAAAAAAAACAAGGTTAGCGGTCCTTCACAAGGCATTGTATCATCTGTAATACACAGTACTTTTACTCAAACCTTTGTAACTTTGTAACTTAACACTTATACTGTAGGACAAATAGGTCCTACGTTTGTGCCGTATTTGTCCAGCTGTGCATTTTGCTGGAATAATTCAGCTGAAGGAACTTGCTCAAGGGTCCAACAGCAGTTTCTTGCCTGGGAACTGGACCTATGACCTAGGTACTATTCCAGAACACTTCAGGCATTTATTATCTTTTCCACACCCTGAGAGATGCACCTGTTTTAATATTCGAGATACAGTACTATAACTACTGAAAAGCAATAAACTATCAATACTTCTAGATACTCACCTTTCTCTTCACAAACTTGTCCCAGTAGTTACTTGGGAAAGATCTAGAAATACATTTAACAAAATACATTTAGAAAAGAATCCTACGGTACAGTGAATTAATTGATTAGTGAATGATTCTATTATTGAATGGCTAGTCTGAACTGTCACAGGTTGTATCGGCTGTGAAAAGTCAGCAGGAAATACAGATAAAACCTGCAATCTGCAATTCCTGTACTGCACTGGTCTGTATCAAAAATACCAGTGACCACTCCTGCACTGCACTGGTTTGTATCAATGTACCAGTGACCCCTCCTCTACTGCACTGGTCTCTATCAAAATACTAGTGACCACTCCTGTATTGCACTGGTCTCTATCAAAATACTAGTGACCAGTCTTGTACTGCACTGGTCAGTATCAATGTACCAGTGACCACTCCTGTACTGCACTGGTCAGTATCAATGTATCAGTGACCACTCCTGTACTGCATAGGTCAGTATCAATGTACCAGTGACCACTCCTGTACTGCATTGGCCTGTATCAATGTACCAGTGATCGGTCCTGTACTGTATCATTTTCTTACGGTGTGTTGAGGACCAGTCTGTCCCACTGTCCTTTGATGTCATCATCCTCAGGCTGTTCTGTGATGTAAAGACCATCAAACTCCAGTTTCCGGGCCAGTTCCTTCTCTCTCTTGAAGATGACCAGTGGGACCTGGAGAGAGGGGCAGGAGAGACAATGGGCACAACTGTGGATTTCCAGGGGAGTGAGAAGGAGCAGCTTTCTCGATACTGCAGACAGTAAGGGGTTTTCTGTACTGTGCAAGCCCATGCGAGCTCTCTTCAGTTTCCCTGTGCTAATCACATTACTTCCTGTGCTCTGCCTTCATTTCACAGACATGGGTACTGCCATTGCCATTACTCTCTGCATTACTTTCTCCACTGTCTACCACAGTAACCGGGCTCAGTGTTCATGTAGGTGGGTATTAGTGCAGCGTGCAGGACTATACTGGATGCTGCATGGTTTGAGATGGACACATGTAGCCTTAAGCCTGCAGTCGTCTGCCTTTCAGTTCTGTCAGAACTTTCCATCAAAACCCAGAATATCGTGAGATTTCCTTTTTTGTTTTTATACCCCAGCAGCATCTCTTTTACAGCTGTTTCTTTGCTCTCAATGTGTCCTAGACAAGTTTGTACTGGGGAATAGTTGATTACATGGTGAGCTTTGGCAATGCTGTAATGGACCTGTCATGCCATGCCAGTAATACCTTTTGAATCAAACTGGTTTGCACTGTGCCAAGTGCTTGTCCTGCCCTCTACTCCTCAGACTGCAGAGAGAGGTTAATACACAGACACCACACACTGCCCTCACCCAGGGAAACACCTTTCTACTTTCAAATTCATTTTCGTACTTTCAAATATTGTACTTCTGAATCAAAACCCAGTGTGTGTCCTGTCACCCTGCTACACTTACACCTATACCAAACCAAACACATATACCAAAACAATTGAAAAAATGTCTATTTCTCTAAACCCCCTCTGTCCTCTCTGCCTCATCTGAAAAGGAAAGACCCAGCTGCACAGAGAAGCCCAAGTTTCACAGCCCAGGACAGACAGACTGGAGGGCCTGACCTTGAGGCAGTTGTAGCCGATGATGCACAGGAAGGAGATGAGGGTGTGGATGATGGCCAGGAAGGCCAGTGCGGGCTCCATGTACCCTGTGCTCTCCTCCAGGAAGTAATAGACCGGCCCTTCCTCCTCCTCCTCCTCTCCACCTCCTTCCTCAAATCCGGAGCCCTCACCCTCGTCATCAAACAGCCCAGAGCCCTCAAACTCATCCTCTCCTGGTGGAGAGTCTGATACCTGCACAGGGAGACATACAGGTGCACTGAGACAGTGATGGTAAACACAGTGAGACACAGAGACACAGAGACACAGAGACACAGCTGGACAGTGAGACACACTGAGACAGTGAGACACAAACATAGTGAAGTCAAAGAAATAAAAATAAAAAATAAAATAAAGAAAAAAAAAAACAAAGACAGAAACAGAAACAAAGTGGGACAAACACAGTAAGACAGTGTTTTAAAGACCAAAACACAGTTAGACAAAGAGACTGATTAGACACACTGAGGCAGAGATTTACAGATACACACAGTTGCTGGACCAGACGTTCAGAGCTTACCCTGTAGAATAGTAAGATGAAGTTCAGAGCGAAAGCCACAAACAGAGCCAGGAAACGCAGGTTGTAGAAATTACGGGACAGGTAATTCTGCACAGCAGAGACCAAAAATAAAGAAACTGTCAGTGCTCTGAGCTTCAGTGTCATCACAGAGGTATTCTTGTACCTTGACTTCTTTTTTACCCAGAACACTTTACAGTACTATACTAGTACAAGAGAACATTCTACAGCTCTGACAATGATGGACAGTTAATGTGAAGCAAGACAATGTTTTTACAGTATAATGCTGAAACGTTAATGGGAAATTAAACATGATCGGATTCAGTGTCTTTAAAGTATCTAGAGGCCTAATGAAGATGAATATTAATGTGAAGCTACAGATGATCAGACTGAGTGTCTTTACAGGTTCTACAGATCTGGTGAAGGTGTGTTAATGTGAAGCTACAGAGGATCAGACTGAGTGTCTTTAC